CTATTGAGCTTGTCAGTCCAGATGGAGTCTTTTCATATACGCCGAGTGGAAAGACTTCGCAAATAATAGTATTTGGAGTTTAAGGAAAGGTTCAAAAGGGAGGTATAAAGGTAAAAGATCACATTTTCTGTTCAATAAGTGAGTCAATAAGTGATCACGTTAATAATTGTGATATTGACCACATTTTTTTTCCCCGTAATGGAGTGACTCTAATAGCACTGCTGTATTATTTCCCTGCTCGACTGCGCCTCGACTTTTTTCTCCCTTACGAGGTTTGCCTTTGCACTGCACGGCAGAGTTCATTGTGAGTGGGTTCAAGTGATTGTATCTCTGCAGAACAATTCCCCGGTAGTTCTACAACAATGGCTCGTTGCTGAAGAGTCATTCGAAGGGTGTCATCTGCACTCTTTTGGATTCAAATATTATATATTTTTTTATAATTGAATACCTGTAATAGACATAGGTATATCTTAAATGTTTTATTCAATTAATCAGGAAATAGTCAACAGTTATTTTAACATCAACAATAATCGTGAGTTGCAGCCTTATACATATACCTACAGTATCTCTCTCTCTCTCTGTTTGTCTTTACTCAGATCTCCCTCTATTTAACATTTTGAAAGAGTATTTGTGGTTAAACTCCACTATTACGTCTACAGATCTCACTCACCTCGGAATAAATCCATTTTTATTTTTTATTTCATTAGAGCCTTAGTACCAGTCACGCCATTAAAAGAGAGCAAGTACAAGTAAAGCACTTAACACATCACTCACCATGGCACATCCAGTTGTGTGCGGTGCCCTATTAGTGTCACGTACTGTAGGATGACACCCGTAACAACACACACACAAAACACTGTGCGTCATGTCTAAGGCTAGATATTATTTTTGTACAGAAATAACACTGACTTCTTGACACAGTCTTAAATTTAAAAACGTTTTTTTTTTTATTTTAAAGTCAAAAGTAAACCTTTAAGGTGATAAACTTTATATGTCCTTTAAAATGAGTCAATATTGTGTCTCCATTTTCTGTTGGCATGGCATTGGTTAAGATCATCATCAGTGGAAATGTTTATAAAGGTTGAGATCATGAGCTGTAGAGAATACTTCAAAGATGAAGGTGAGAATTCGAGGTCAGATCTGTTGTTTAAGAGTATTCTTAAAATAATGCCTTAGTGACTGAGAATTTACTCCGTTCACTGAACCCTTCACTTTGTTCCAGGTTCAAAATTAAATTTATTTAAATGCAGTTGACCGTTTTGCCTGAAGCCCCACGCTGAGCCGTTCTAATAAGCAAATTTACTTTGCACAAGGCAAATCATGTTTATCTATTTAAATGTCAGTGACAGTAGGATTTCTACAGTATGTCCTAAAAAAACATTTTAAGACTTTTTAGTGTTTGGTCAAAAAATATTTTGACTTTTTTTGTTAATATTATTTTCAGACTAGTGCTACAGACAGTCAATGTAAAAGTAAAAAAGACATACGCTAAAAAGTAGACCACATGTGACATGACTTTGTCTAGATATATTTAGGAATAGTATTTCAATACTTCTACAATAAAAATAAAATGTCTTCAGAAAACAGAGAAAAGCTTTTTTTATCCAACACTAAGACCGATATATGTTTGACTAGTGTTGACTATAGTTAGGTTTCATCTTAAGTGGCATATTAATATGCCGTTTAAGGTGAAGTACATATGAATGATAAACACTCACTTTTGATTTCAACTGAAATGAGGGGGATTAGCGCTCGCTTAGCATGCAAGAGGCCGCGGGATTGATGCCTGCGTCCTCCAATCTTTGGTCTCTTTACTACCAACCTTTCACAAACCATATCATTAGCTCTACCTTTACCTTTGCTACTGCTCTCTTAGCCTCTCTTCGAGCCTGACAGCACTCCTGTCTACTGGCCTCATCTCCCGGACTATTAGCTTAGTTCAGCCTGCCCTCTTCTTATGGACACTTTCCTGGATGTCTTATTCCATCGCCAACTTTCCTTGTTAGCTCTCGGCTGACCTGACAGCTAACACCTTGAGCTTTTCTCTCTCTTGGCTCTACTCTAAACTCCCTGCAACACTCTTCCTTGCCTTGTTTCCACCTCTAATCCACCTTTTAATCCTGGCCTATGCCTTTAATCTCTTCCTTTTCCTTGTTTCCACCTCTACTCCATATATAACCACCCTAGGCTGCTTAGCTGTACTTCCCCTACTTCACAATCTCGCACCTCTTTTTAAAAAGTGCTTCCCGTGCATTATTTCATCGACCTCTGCTTTCATGTTACTTTGAGTTTCTCCCTCTTTTTAAAATAACTATTAACAACGGCCACTTCTTTCTTCTTTGCGAAGTCTACAGTCATTTGTCCTTCTGCGTTCCTCTCTTCTGCCCACACTCTCGCCATAGTTGCCTTCCCCAAAAAGTCTCTCCCCCACAAAGACACCTTCTACGAGCTGCAACTCATGTTCAAATACATAACTGTCAACCTGTCCATCACTAGAGCAAATAAAGAAAAGCAAAGTATTATTTTTTGTAATGTAAATTTAAAATATTAAATGTTTTTGAATTGAGGGTTTGTACAAACTATATTTAAAGTATTAGGCCTGTAGAAACTAAAACACTTAACACATCTTACAGTGGGCAGAAATGCAGCTCACAAGATTATCATCTGCAGATAAAGCCCAAAGAGGAAGCAAGACGATATGAAACCTTTCAAATAAAAAGCTTTCAGTTAAAAAAGAATTAGAGGCGAGACTGTGGGTGTAGTCTAAATTTATCATGTTAGTAGAAAGTGGTTAGGAGAAGAAGAGTTTCTCAGAAAAGAGCAGCACAGCACAGCACACAACATCCAGTTGGTAAACAAGACTTTAGCACCACAGAGTGGGGCTAGCTCAAAGACGCTAACATGTGTTTGAACAAGCAGGGTCACAGATGTCTGTAATGACGGTCACTTCTTATAAGCATAAATATTTGTCGTTTTCAGTTGGTACAACGTTTTCGGAGCAAGGTGACATCAAATGTTGAGCAAATTTTTCGGATCTTCCAATATACTGCGACAGTGTCAACTTAATATTTCAGTTTTTATTTCTCACTTGTATTTGATTATATTAACATTATTTTTTATTTATATTTATTTATATATTTTGTTTTTGATTAAGTTTTTTGAGAGAGAGAGAGAGAGAGAGATTGTGGAAGTACACTACATTGCTGATTTTATTGTCCTTTTCTTGCAATGTTTAATTATCAAGCCTTCAGTTATTTCCTGGGAAAGTTCAACAGGAAAGTACAAAGGAAAATATCACATTTGTTGCTCCATCTGTGCCAAAAATGCAATGAATTGTCTGAGTCTGTGAACAATCATTATAGATAATGGTGAAAGGATTTCTTTTTTCCACAATCGAGCTGGATTACAACAAACTGAAACTGACTGATAAAATGTTTCAACATCTCAGTCCTGGTCAGAGTGCACAGTATTCTCTAGTTTCCTGGAGAAGAACTAACGGAGTTGAGAAAAGAGGCGATAGAAAAGGACTAACACGTTCTATCCTCACAGGGAGCTGAGACCTAGAACAGTAAGTAAGGAGCACAGAAGCCTGCAGGGTGGCTGTGGTCCCTCGGTAGGCCACAACTGCTGGCACGACGCCTGTCTGCTAAGAATGGAAATACTCGCAAAAGCCACCAGAGACATCCTGCTACAATCTGGAGGGCAGGGGGAAGCAGGAAACGCTACACTCTGCTCAGAGCCCCAGCATCAACAGCGCTAACACAAAAATAGGGTCACAGCCAAAGGCTCTGCATGTAAAAGCCACAGTGGTTAGCTGTACAAACAGTGATTGATGCTCAGGAATCTTGACGTACAGGGCACATGAGGAAAGACTCGTTACCCAACTAGCGCAACAACAACTGGGAAACACATCAATTAAATCCATGAAAACAACACAGTTTAGAGGCTGTAACTTGACTGGAGGGGAGTCTCCTATCACCTACATCAGATTTACGTTTTAATCTGAAATCCCTGGCATCGATATCATAGAACCTGCACCTTCTTCTTCTATTCTGAAGCTTGAATGTTCTGATTCTAGGGTAGACCACAAGTCAGTCAAGGTTGCAGAGCATTTTATATCCTTAAGCTTGTCTTCCAGTTTTCCCACAGCAGTCTTTATAAAGTTGTGTTCTGGTGAAAGCACTCCTGCCAGGAAGCTTTTAGTAGGGTCGACATTTTCATTAGCTTCCTCGACCCAGTCTCCACAAGGCCAACTTATTTAACAATAAGAAACGTACATCATCATAACTCTGACAGAGCCAGCAATAGACAAAAAAAGTGTCCATTGGGTGCTTGGGTACTGCAGCCATCAGGCACAAGTAAAAACCAAGAAGACCTACAAGAAGATTTACATGCTAAAGGTTTGCTTGAAAAGTACATTAACAACTGATTAAACAGAAGTTGTGGATTGTAACCTAACCATGTTCACATAGCTGTAAAGTGTTTGTCCAGAGTGGTGGATATCATTTTATCTATATAAAGCAACTTCACTATTTTGTCTACTAACAGTAAAAGCCGAGAGATTATCCCTTCACTGAGTCAGCATAATCATTCTGGCTATCAGTCTATTGTGTTGCAACACCATTTTATTTTTGTATTAAATCCATCAGCGTCAAACTGAGGCTCACTAAACATTTATAACATAATATAATAATTGAAATCCTTATTTGTCACGGAATGGGTAAATTCACAGTGTTTCTTTGCAACCCACACAGGCTGCCACAGGAGGCGCTATTAAGTATGTGGTTCCGCGGGGGTCATAAGATCCCCCAGTTATAAGAAAATAGTGTATGAAACAGATCTGTAAGGTTTTTTATTCTAATTCAAAACGTGTTCAGTTGAACTCCTGAACACGTCCTTTCACTGAAGATAGTGCTTACGGTTGCAGAATTTACCATTTTTTTGGCATTTTTTTTTGTTGCAAATGTTCCTGCAGCTAGGGGAAAGGTCATTAGGCTTACCAATTTTCTGGTTGAAAATTTTGTCAAACGTCAGTTCATCCCTCTCCTCCAGGTACTTCTGCATCACACTCCGGATACTGTGAACATAAGGTGAGGGACGGGGAGAGAAAGAGAGAGAAGTTGGTTACATACAGCAGCATGATCACCATTTAACAGAGGCCTAGGCAAAGAAAACATTAGCAAGTCTGCTAGCCTACTACTCCACCACATTCAGTGTGTGATCCCAGCCATCGTTTGGGGCTCTCCCTGGCACCTGTCCCCTGACTCTGGCCAATGGTAGGGAGGCGGGGCGGGGAGAGGGCACAGGAGACCACCTATCAGAAAACCCCGAGGAGATACATGCCACCCTGGGAACTGGTGTTAATTAGATTGAGAGTCCGCAGAATAAATCAATTTGCACCCCGTTAACTGGTTAATTAACACTACAACAGCGTCCTGCATGGGTGAGGTTTGTGGCAAATGTCTACATACACTGTCCATAAGGAACCCCGGCCTCCTCATGGTTCTCTCTTTTTAATTTATCTTGTATATTATCTTGTATTTGGACTGTGGTCGCAGGCTCTGTGTAAAGGCTTCAGATGAACTCTAGCTAAATGTTTTTTTTGTTTGACAAACAAAAAAATCATACAGAATATTTAGTTATAGATAATGGATTCAGCCAGTGTTTTTGGCACTTTTTGGTTGGGGGTATTTATATGTGAAAACTGTTAAGTCAAAAAATGAGAAAATTGAGAGAGAATACAGTAGATATACAATTGACTTATTACTATATTACTCTAGAAGTCAGTTTAAAAACCTCTATCTGTAGAACTACACACCAGATGACATATAATTCTTCTACTTCCATATTGTAACTGTAGTAGAAATGACTTGCAGTGTTGTTGTGTGAATTGAGAGCTAAGCACAACAGTACGTCCAAGGTAAAATGTGGAAATAAAGCGACTGTAGCATTTCTGCACTTACAGGAACAAGAATCTAACCAGTGCACACTTCCTCATTTAGTCAGCGGAGGCCTGTTTGTGCACTCCACTGAGTCATTAGTGTCTGACTCTAGAGTGTGACTGTAAAGAAAATATACATACAGACAACCTCATATATTTATAGAAGTCGGACAACATGTAGGGTTTTGCAAATGTTATGCGGTTGGGTATGATAAAAGTGGATGCCTGGCCGTGTGAAAGAATATATACTCACACGCACTAGAAGTTGATAATGTACATTTGTTAAGAACTAGCTCTAGTAATACTTTAATAACAGTTACATGGTTATAAGCTTAGGCTGGTTCCTGCTTTGGAGTTCAACTGAAACGATGCAAATACATTCTCAGGTGTGTGAAACAAGCAACACCCTCATGACAGCTCTCCTTCAACGCAGAAAGTGGCAGTAAGACCAGAAGCTATTACACAGTAGTGTAACTGTTACACGACTCCTGTCTCACTCATAGGACAGGAGTCTAGCCAAACAACAGTTACTCAGTTGGTGCTTCAAAATAGGGGAACTATGGTCAGTGCTTATTTACATTATTACCTAAAAAGGTAGGCTGAAGAAAAACAGCATTAGAGACATGATTCCCTGTAGAAGATTGAAAACAACCTACTGCTCAAATGCAGAAGAAAATGTATGTTGTGTGTTTATGTGTCTGTGTATGCACAATGACCATAAAATGCAAAAGGTCGATTCTTCTACTTCTACTGTAATTGCGGCAGAAACCTTAAGAGTAAAAGAACAGTAGGAAGTAGGAAAAAGAACTACCTTAGATTTAAAGTGAAATACCTAGAATCCAGAACACCTAGAATCCATCGTTTGTGGGGTAGAACCAACATTTAAAAATAAATAAACCTACACCTACAGATTCTAGAGAATTCTCTACGAAATTATACGTATGTTAACCTTAAATCATGTCTACACAAAGTGCACATCTACACCAATCACTTAAACCTGTTGTTGTTCCAACTATGGTATTGTTCCAGTGTGGGTGTGTTGGAGTTGATGTGACGTGTGCTAGGTAATACAACTGCAAATGATTGGTATGCATTGGACTGAGGTATGCCTGTTGCTGGAGGATTAAATGTGTTACGATTAAGGCTTTCAATTTGCATTGATGATTAATCACAGGATAAGGGTCAGTTAATTGTTAATTATTTAATCATGATTAGTCATGAGTGATACACATAAATCAACATTCTTGAATATGACTTAGAAATGTTCAGCATATTGCTGTATCTGAATGATTAATAACAGCAGGTAGATTTGTGTGTCCCACAACTGTAGTTTTTGCGACTAATCCAAATGTTGGAATTATTGGATGACAAGTGTCCGTCATTCTGCCAATATGTTAAATGAGTTAACAATTATAATCTGATTAATTTAAAAAATGTATCAACGCATTCATTTTGACAGTCACTTTTTTGCTGAGTAACATGGCTAAGGTAACGTCAAGAGTCAAAGCTAATTCAAAGTCTTCTCTTCCCCTCTGTCCGTTGGTTTTCGGTCTTGATCCCTTTTAAAGGAAAACCACAGAAGCTGTGCCAGGAAGTGTCAACGACCAGATGCCAAGCTGTCTGCTGTTCTCCACAGCAATTGTTGTGTTATTCAACCATGTCCTAGTCCGTATGGAGAAATTTAAATATTTAACAAAATAATATGTAACTGGCATTGATGGGCCTGCAGGGGTGTCCATTTGATCACATTACACCAATGTGAAGGCCTGTCCTGACATAATACTCTTATTTTAGGTGTTTTAGGGGCCAGTTGTGGTCATCCTTGTGCAGTATTTTAAACAAGCCTCAAGGAACACCTGACAATAATATTATGATGAAACAGAGCAGTGAAAAAAACGCATGTAAATTAAAGCCTGTAGACAGGTAATTACTCTCTTTAACAGGGTGACTGTTGGACTTCAAAACTTGTTTTTCTGGCTACTGCTCTAGTGCAACTGTGAGAGGAGCCACCCATAAGACAAATCTAAAAACATTACACTTGTGACATAAGAAAAAAATAACTCGTCCCCTGTTATGTCACAAGTTAAGTGTTTACTTTATATTTATACCTGTTTTGAAATCAAACTTAAATTTTCACAATATACACACACACGCTACTGATTTCTACAACAATGAAAGTATAAGCTGCAACAGGCTATGAAGTGAATTCGGGAATTTTTCTACTCACAGAAGTTAAAATCTGAATAAAGGCAGCAGCTTGTTTTTTTCCATGAATTTTTTCCACATTTGACAACTTTCAGAACACTCAACAGAGCGCACACATTAAAATAACCTAATGTACTGGTGCTTGAGTATCCAGTAGTACAAGTATCATCATCTCTTCCTATGTCTACATGTCTGCCTTTCTTAAGAAAAGAAAACAACTAGAGCTAACCAAAGCGTTTAATAGTTTGCGGTGTTTACGGAATGCTAACACATGCAGGGCTCTAAGCAGAAATACATTTCATGAATGAGACTACACATTTATTGGGTTTGCACATTAGAAAAGGTTAAATGTTGTCGTTGCAGTAGTTACAACTAAGATGACCTAAGCCATTTTGGAATTTGAAAAATCAAAAAGGAGCGACACGTATTTGTTACAGTTAGCAAACAGGTAATACTGGCCCTCTGAGCAGAAAAACAGTGTTTGAGGCACTGTGGTGTTTAAGAAAGAGACACTACAAGATCTAACAGTCAATGATGGACTTAAAACAGAATCATGCATTTGTATAACCCGTCATAGTGAAACATAACTTACCTGTGCATTAATTAGTATTTCAGTGTGTTGCTTAAATGTTGGGCAAGTATAATTACCAAATGGTCACAATTGAAGAACTGAGAACTTTTTTTGTTGTTGTTCATATTGCGCCACAACACAGGACTTAATCCATCGGTGAAAACATCCCCAATGATTGACCAAACATACATCAGCACTGATCAACAGTTAGTTGTGGGGTGGTGCTTGGTCAACACTCCACAGCCCTTCTGGTCATGGGATTTGAACTGGTCTACTCTGTTGTTTTGTTGATCTGTTAGAGGCCAGACTCAAACCAAGAGTATTAAGTATTAACATCTACTACAGCAAACATGGACTTCTTTGTTATTAAATAACAACAGTAACATAAGAACAGCAGGCTAATAATAAGAGCCCATTTGAAATAGTAACTATACCTGAACAGCAATGTATGTCATTCTAGTAACTACTAATGTCTGTATATCACCAAAATGATACTATCACGTGTTCGCAAATCCTCCCCATTTACTTCACCAAATTTTAACAAATCTATGAGCCACAGCCAGTAAGCGAGCACCAAAAATCACAAACCGTTTACATTAGAGAGTTCACCGGAGGGTCGGATAATGACGACACCGATACTTCCGTTTCCCATGAACTTGGGTCGGGTATGAAGAGCAGGCAGTTATGAGAAACGGAGGACAATGAGGAATTTTTAAGAACAGGATTACAATAAATAAGAAAACAAACCTGAAACGTCATAATATCTTTTAAATGAAAAAAAACAGGCAGAGGGCTGAATCACTGCTGACGACATACATACTTTAAATGGCCCTGTCCTCATGAGTGACAAGGTTTACTTATACAAATTCCAACAACAATCAATAATTATTTACACTAATGACATTATCTTTAGAGTTGTTTTTTCTATACGTACATATACCCCAATAACAGAAATTAATATTCAAAGCTGGATAAGTATTTCCAATTTCCTGATTGTTGTTAAGTGCACAATTCTGCCAGGATAAGTATTTCCAATTTGCAACCTGATTGTTGTTAAGTGCACAATTCTGCAGACCTCACCAGTGCTGTGTCACTTATATTCATTAACAAAAATTATTTTCACAGGTACAGTCATATTGCATGCACAGAAATAAACACACACACACACCAACACAAACACATGTTCTTCTCTGCACATCTGCTCTTCTCTGCAAACATCTCTCTGAAGTGTAAATAATAAAGGAGGACTAGGCCAATCCTAGTCATTTCATTATTTATAATTGATAGAGAAAACTCAACCAGCCCAAATCTTTTGGGTCAGAGGCTGAACACACTCTTTTGGTCATCTTTTTGCAGGTTT